CCCTCCATCACATGGATAAAGTCCGTAACCATCTACCCTGTAATGCCTCAAGATTATAGCCATCTTGTTCCTGATCTCCCTTCATGCTCTATCCTTCCCTCCATCACATGGATGGAAACATAATATTGTTTAAGAAATCAGGTTTTAAAGCACGAAAAAGAAAATATCTAAATGAGGATAGTGAAGTAGTTAGGCAGGCTAGAAAAAATGCTTTCATTAAGGGGGATGCTACTTCCCTTTTTGAGGTATTCTTTCTTCCTAATCCTAAAAGAAGCTGTGATAGGAAATAGGAAATCGTTCAATCTACAACTCAGCAATTTGGTAAGGCTTGGAAATATGCTATCCTATGCTCAATAATGGTGGAGAGTAATAGATAACCAAATTGGGTGACCATATTTTCAGTGAAAAAGAAAATATTGACTCAGTAAACAGTAGTAAAATCTAGTATTAGGAGATGCATGTTTGTGATTCTTGAAGCTGTGCGTGTCCCCTATTTGTTATTGCTGATATATGTTTTTCTTTTTCTGTTTGTTGTTGCCCAGGCTCAGCAGATAGGACAGTTAAATTCTGGGACCTTGAAACCTTTGAGCTAATTGGTTCAGCTGGACCTGAGGTGCTTTTTAGATCCCAGGATAAATCTATTTTGACTGTAAAATAATAAAGTGTAGTGTTGGATCTCTGGCCGAGTTATGTTATACTGCTTTCATGAAAGTCAATTTATCTGATTTGCTTATACCTATATCAGACCACTGGAGTGCGTTGTTTGACTTTTAACCCTGATGGACGGACCCTACTTTGTGGATTGCATGAGAGTTTGAAGGTGAGGATTTGTGGTGCTAGTTTATAATTTTGGGTACATTGAGTCTATGCTCACTTGTATTGTTTCAAATTTATAGGTTTTCTCATGGGAGCCGATTAGATGCCATGATGGCGTGGATGTGGGATGGTCTAAATTATCAGATCTTAATGTTCACGAGGGAAAACTTCTCGGCTGCTCATATAATCAAAGTTGTGTAGGAGTATGGGTTGTAGATATCACGGTATTCTTTACTTTATCTTTGTTTCTACTGACTTTTTTTTT